AGGTCCATGGCAATGAGAGCATGGGAGCCCTTCTGAATGAAGCTGCTGGGAACAGGACTTTGTGTCACTCCATGATCTCTCTGGGAAACTGGTCGTTTACACTAAAGTCCATTCCTTGTAGCTCCCTGCTGTAACTCGCCAACGGCTCCTTCTGCTGAAATGTTACCGAATTTGGCCACAAAAGGATGCAGATTCCAGGCACCAGGCCCATGTTCTTCACGGTGTCCTCCGGAAGTTTCGGGTGGGTCTTACAGTAACTTCTGTGTCCTCTCAAGCAGACTCTGGGATACCTGAAAACACCAGGTTATCTCTCATGCTACGGGTCTGAAGACCGATGGCAGTCTTTTTAATTTTTAATTTTCTTAACTGAGCTGGGTGACTTTCTCACTTAGAGACTTGACCGAGTCTGTAGCATGGCGTTTTCAGTGACATTTCCACCTGCTGCTGGCTGAATTCTAAAGATTCCCTCACGGATTGGAATTCACGGTTTAGAATCTCGATCAGAGACATGCTCATGTAGAAGCTGGACAGTCGCTTATCGGTTGAATCCAGGACATCTGCAAAGTCCTTTACCGGTCGACGACGTTGTTCCGGGGCAATCTGCGACTTCTTTGGATAGATATCTTTTCTGCTTTTACTCCAATGTTTTTGGCCTTTTTTTTTAAATTAAGAAACGAGTGTTAGTTGTTTTTTTTTCTCTTTTCACTACACTTTTAAAAATGCATAGAAGCTTCTAAGCGAAATATGGTGGGTGACTCGACAGTGAGCAATGCCAGCTAACACAGAAATGAACTTTAGTAATCACTAACTTCAATGAGCGATTAGCAGCACAGATTCAACAAAAACCTCTCATGAGAACAGCAAAGCAAACACCGTCATAGTGCTTTGAAACTTGATGTGATGTGCAAGGGGCGGAGCTTACTGAGAAACCAAGGGCATGCATACTAACTGTTTAATGACTTTTAATTAAAAAATATAGCTCTAAAGTGCTTTATCTAGTCGGTAAAAATTGAAAACTGCTATATAAACATCAGTACATTATTATTTATTATGACCTGAAATTAGTTCATCTGGGGAAAGAAACTGGTTGAATACCTCACGACACAAGAGACGTTTCTTTCTCTATCCAGGTGGACTACTTTACCTTCCCGATGGTCATTACACACATATTTACTGCATAGTAATTCATTATTACATAACCTCGATATAAAACAGACATGAGGCCAGCAATACCAAACAAATAAAGATGCAATGAAGCAGTTTATTGGCTTCAGCATTGACCGGTGCCAAAACAACAAACAAACATCTTGTGTTCCTTATTCCCACCTAACCTAAAATAAAAGGCAAAAAAAGAGACAAATCTCTAACCTATGCTCCTAACTAATAAATAGGAGAAAAAGGATTTCAACAATTCCTCACAATTGCACACGTTTCCCTGTAATGACAGCAATCTATGCTAGGATCTGCTGGGAACTACTGATTAATCTTTACAGCTTTGGTAATAATTAGGGATCCAACCAAACAGAATTGCTGTTTAGTTAAATTCTAGTGGGATTACTGGGGATAAAAGGTTTTGGATTCATTTACGTGACAATTTCCATATTCTTTTGTCTTGCATATTGAGATGAAGTAATTTTTCAAAAATCATCATCTTGGAGAAAAAATCACATCACATCTCTCATCACAAAATATCCTGATTTGAGCAGTCTCAGACTGCCAGCTCTTATTCATTTTGTAATTATGGAACTTATAAAACAAAACTGTCAGAGTTAGAAATATCAAGTTGTAAAGGTTGACTTTACAAAGACATCTGGCAGGGAAACCAGCCATTTTCCCCACTATTCTTAAAGTTGCTGTAATTTTTTTTTCCTAATAATTTCTGATGATTTTTCTATTGGTTTTCGAACCAATTAATCCACTAATCATTGTGGCTTTTAAGATAATGCTGATTGTTGTGGTAGTGACCCCAGTGATCACATTGGGACAGACCAAGAACCTTACTCCATTAGAGAGATAAGTGATGATGTGAGAGCTGCAGGGGCACAGTTCGGCGAATGAATTTCCTGCTCTGTGAGCTGTTGGCGTCACCTGATCCTTCAGCTAAATGAGTTAAGCTGCACTTTGCTAATAGTGTTAGAAAAGACAAAGAGGGTGAGGCAGAGGAAAGTTGCCTTCCTCTCTGCAACAATAGCTGCTTTTATGCGCCTCCCAAATTTAATCAGGATTACATTTTGTTGCTACTTTCAGGTGATATTGGAATAATCAGTGCTATGATTCAACTTAAGTCACTGAACTCTGAAGTGGCCCCCTAAAGTGCCTTAAATAATTATAATGCCATGTGTTACAGGTTTGTGAAATGTAGTCCCTAGGTAAGAGATTTTTGCCATTGAAAAGTCTACTTATTTCCCCTTAAATGGTGGCACGTTTGTAAAGAAAACGCATTTTGGGGTTGAACAGCAGAGTTGTATGGAAGCCCGTTTCCGCCACTAAAAAAAAAAAAGTA